AGTTCCAGCGCAGCTGGCTCAGCCCGGTGCTCAGGGGAGGCTGTTCCGCCCTCTCCCCGTTGCCCCGCTCACAGGCGTGTCTGTCTGTTCAGTCTTCCTTCCTTTGGGGCTTGGCCCCGGCGCCCCTCGGCCGGGGAGACACGTACTTTGCGATGGGCTGGTTTCCCCGTGGGAGGAATCAGCCCCCACCCCAGCCACAGTGCCCTTTGTTTAAATAACCAAGTGTTCACTGTGGAGTTGACTAGAGGGTGCCCAGTGCGCCGTACGATTGCAGCCCTACCTCCAGACTAGTGATAGAGATGCAGCCCTCTTAGTCAGGTCTAGCTGAAACAAAAGACAGGACTATGCAGCACTTTAAACCATCTTGTTAGTCTTTAAAGTGCTCCATAGTTCTGTCTTCTGTGTCAGCTACCTCGAGACTATGGCTGACCAGGAAAAGGAAGGAGGTAGCTGATTTTTCAAATATATCTGTATGAACAAATTGCTTCCTCCTTTGTATTGAGTGCTCAGGTTACATCAATAATGAGCTAGTGGAAGAATGAGAACCGCAGGGCGGGGAGGCAGGTAAACACTGACAGATTTTCTCACACATCATTTGTCCCAAGCATTTGAGACAAGAGTGTGTGGGTCAGCCTGAGGCAGAGGCTTCAGGCACTTAAAGCAAAGTTTAAGGACCTGAGGTGCAGGCGTAGCTTGGTTTGTGGAAAACAAAAGTGGAGGGAAACCTCACTAACACTAAGAACTAATTATACAACTAAATATACAATCAATGATCTAGAAGAAATTTTAAAATATATGCAAGAAACCACTAAGGGAAGCACTTGTAGAAGCAAAGATCAAGCGCTACAGCAACTGCAACATATATGCCAGCAGGGGTATACATGCACCTGCACGGACACACCGCTCTGGAGGGCTCCCCTGCTGGCCCAATGGGAAAAACCTTCCAAAAATCGTGCATTCACATGTAAATAGAATGAACATGAGCAATCATTTGAAGAAATATGGCATATTCATTAACAGGAAAAATATCCGTTTCCCTTTGTGTTTGCATGCATGTTAGAAAGAAGGCAGGTCTAGCTGATGTCAGAGGTCTGATCTCAGCTCTGAACAAAAGGACTTCTTCCACCCTGTGGGAGTTAAGCTAAATTTTTGACTCATGTTAGGAAATACCCCCTCCCCTAATAAAAATACTTCTCTGCAAGAGATAAGGAGACAATTTCCTTCTTTTCTATAAGCTGTTACCAGATTTGCCCAATACTCTGGGGTATGCTCATTTATTAGGGTTACTCTTATGGGACTGGGAAAGGTTATCAATTCTATCAGTGTGCTGCTTGTGCTTACTTGTGCTCTCAGGGGGAGCTGAATTCTCCCTGCTGTCAATTCCCCCTCTCACTATAGCTCTCCTGCAGGAACTAGGTTCCTCAGGATCGGGTTCTTCCCACCTTAGCAACACACACAGACACTCACACCCATTAACAGAGCAAGTCTGAGAGGATTGGGTAATCAGCACTCACAAGCTGACCCCTCATATGTCCCTGGACTCAGGAGGCTGGGTTTAACAGCAATGCTACACTGCACCCTCATGTACCTTTGGACTCAGTGGGCTGGATTAAACAGCACTTTAAGATGCCATTCTCATATGCCTCCAGGTTCGGCACCCCCTAATCCCCACTTTTACACCACAGTCATTCACTGGTAAACCACACGATGAGCAAACCCCACAGGATTTTGGGCAATACAGGGATTTTTAGCTTGGGTACAAGAAGCATTGTCGCAGAGCGAACAGGGAAGCCAAAACAACACCCCTTAAGGAAGAGTGAGTGAAAGAGAAAGAGAGAGAAGCAATCAGCTTAACAATGCAAGTTATTTTATCTATCTATCTATCTATCTAGGGAGCCAAACACACATAACAGTTACAATATTAAATCTAAATTGGAACTGATTACAAATGTTAGGGCTACCTAACCATATAACAGTTTACATGGGGCAGAGTCAGGAGGGTAGGCTTAGAGAGTATGTCTACACTGCCACCCTAGTTTGAACTGGGATTCAAGTAATCAGGGGCGGATATACAGCAGGGCGAACGGGGCAGCCGCCCCGGGCCCCACGCTTCAGAAAGACCCGTGCATGCGCCGTGACAAAGGGGGGGGGGAGGCGCGGAATTATGCTGCCCGGGGCCCCGCAAAACGGTCATCTGCCCCTGCAAGTAATGCTACAGTTCTTGTGTCAGAGAGTTTTCAGGACCCCCAGTGAGAGTTTTTTAAAAGGTCATTAGTTAGGAGTTAACATTTTGGGCCTCTCAATCTCGAGGATGTGTCTTGTTGTGGGAAACTTAGGGTTCAGCCCTGCAAGGCACTGGGCACCTTATAGGAGCATAGGACAGTGAGCATCCTGCAGGATTGTGCTCTCATTGACTGCAGCCAGGCCCTAGATGCCCATCAAAGACACAACATTGCAAATGAGAACCATGTCCCCATTGATTAGCAGCTCCCTGTATTACTGGATGCCTGTGTGTGGGGGTAGAGGGTGAGGAAAGAAATTCAAAAACTCACACTGCCACAGATGACAGTACAGACCATAGAGTGAAGCATTGTCCATCTTAATGCAGATCATGTAAACCACGGTTTGTGGTGCTCTTCACTCCAGTGCAGACTATTGAAAGCAAATCTGACCTGCCCTGGCTTGTGCAACAGCATGGTGAAAACTCAGGCTATTTGGAAAGTCTCTGCAGCAAATAGCCATGCCCAGCAGGCCATGCCCAGAGTTTGTTGTGAGAGCTTTGAACTAGGGCATCATCAACTGTGCTCTGGTAACCAGTCCCCCCCTCCTCTTTTTTTAAATGTT